CAAATACTTTTTCAAATACAATTTCCTGCCTTTAAAACTGTCTAAAACCATATATATACACCTAGACGGTTAAACAGCTTTAAGATGGTATAAACCAGGAAAATTTACACATGAATCTGATGTGTATCTGCTTTTATGGAACAGGATTGTTTTCTTAGTCATACATGACTGTTGATTTCTGTTTAAAACTCATTTAAAAGACATACAATCTGAAACTCCAAACACTTGAAATAATGGTTTCATTCATGGTAAGAAGCTACAAAAATCAAACTCTGTCAAAGGAAGTAGTTTTTGATCTTTCTCCATTCTAAATGTACCTGGAAAAGACATAATTTAACTTCCCTGTATCTACGTGGTTTTCCACCACATTTATGTCAGTTGAGGACCTAAAGAAGAAGCTCTGCACGATTTTGGAAGTCAACTGGTTCTGGATAGGGATAAAAGGAAAGAATGCGCAAAGGAAATCTCTTTGATTGGAAATATTCTGACATTTAATTCTCTGCTTTCGTGGAGCAGGATCCTGCCTGATGTCTTATCATAAAGTCTGTTGGGGAAGGAGGGGTGATGGAAAGACTCTCCACTCTGAAAAACAAACTACTTGCTAGGTTTCCACACTGGACCGGTACTTCCCTTAAAAACCATTTCTCTGTTTTAGTGTTCCACTTGGATAACCTATATTTGTCTATGGTGTGTCAGTCTCTGAAAAAAACTTCTATAGCAAGACACTTTGATAGAAAATATAGGTAAAATGTCCAGTGAGATAATTAGCAGCATTGAGCATGTTCTCTTCACATTCCAAATGAAAATTATTTACATTGCTTCAGATTAAAAAGGCTTTTTTCCTCATAATACTAGTAATTGCTCTTAAAAATTCAGTAATTTATATTCATTCCCTATTCTGTCTTATGGCTATTTTATATAGTGAGGGACATTTTTTGAGTGTAAGTTTTAATGTAAAACCTTAAAGATTAATATTCTTGTCATAATTGTATTTACCTGTATTTTGTAGCCTTACATACTTTTAGTCAAGCTATGCTTTTCATTCGTTCTCTTCCATGAAAGGATACAGCTATTTTTAAAGGTCTAGTACCAACTAATTTTTTTTATTTATTATTTTTTTTTTTTTCCATAATATGTGCCAAAGAGTGTCTCCTCCTAACTCCTTTTTTTTAAAAATCACTCTCAGGGGAATTTTATTCCCCTTTGAACTTCTACTCATTGTTGAATAGAGTGGTCACCAGGCTCAGAACTTCATGGAAGAGAAATAATAATTAAAACCAAAAGTCATGTAAGGCAGGAAGACTTATTAAAACCATCTGAAGAAAAGAAAGTTTATAGTTTTTCTGCATCTTTCAATTTCTGGTCTGTTGTAGGGACTACTCTTACTGTTTGAAAGCTATCTCTGAGTTCTGCAGAAGCTCACAGACCAAAGTACACAACTGTAAACATACAGGTCTTTTATGGTCCAAACGCAGAATGCAGGATACGGGACACAGAAGACACAAAAAGGCTACTCGTTTCTGCACCATTACCCAGACTTTTAAAATCCTAGTACAGGGTAACAAACTATAGCCCGAGGAAAAGCCAAACTGGACTAACACTACTAGCAACCTATGCACTGGAATATTTAAACACAGGTCTATTAAAATATTAATCTATGTTCCTATCAATGTTTGTTTACTTTCATCATATACAAAGAACCACAGGATAATCTGCATTGGAAGGAACCACACTCAAAGTAGGGTTAACTTCAATATTACATCAGGAACTTGTGCAGTCAAGTTCTGAGCATCTCCAAGGCGAGAGATTCCACAATCTCTCCAGGCAGCCTGTCAGCTGGAAAAGAATAAAATGATGAGGAACCCAAACAGAAAGTCAGTTTTGCATACCGAGACACACATGTGTTCCTGCAATTTTTAGAAGTATGTTTTTGCTATACACGTCTAAAAAACCTGACATTAAAGAATATGTAATTTTTTAAATCTTTGTTGCTTCTACAGTCTTTCAAAGGAATAATGCAAACATTACTTCTTCCATGGGCTCACACACACTGAAAAAGTTCAGAATATGGAGTCTATTACATCTGGATATTTATACAGCCCTTCTTTTAGTGCCTTTGGTGCAAAGCTGTCAATTCTCAGGCACTCCAGCTGGCACTTCAATCACAACAGTGACTGCTACAATTAAGTCCCCTTTTCAGACTTCCGAGTTTGGTAAAATAATTTTCTGGTGTGTAAGTCAAATTTGCTCAATTCTGTATCTTATATTTCACAACTAACCCCTTCCCCCTCCTAGCACTCTTAGTGATAGAGAATCACCAAAATACATTTACTCCCTCAGTCAGGAAGAAAAGCATTATTATTTTTCCCATTACTTCAAATTGGAAGCTATTCCCAACATCAAAATTGCCAAAGAAGTGAGCTGAAGGTTAAATCGAAACTTATCTGACATCCATAATGGTCTGGTTGCAGGCCAGGACAAGAAGCTGAAATTACAACAGCGACTACAGCAATAAGCCCTGCAGCTAGTGGAGAGATGGTAGATAATCACCTTCATTCTTGATCCCTCTGCTAGGACTTACTAGTTCCTGAGAGCAGAAAAGAAGGTAGGACTAAAATCTAACGCAGCAAAGGTATGGTAGCAGTGTTAGGTATGTCCTCCTGCCTTTAAAAGTGGCTCTAGCTAGAGTAGCTGCCTGAAGGGAAACCTCTGGCCCAGTCTCTCCATGCAGAATGTTAAAGTTCTCCCAAACGCCCCTTTGTTTCTCACTACCCTACCCAAAGCCCAGTAACTCCACTCCTCTCTAGCATTTTTTCCACACTCATTTCAGACCCTCTATTCCATTCCTCTCAGGTCCAGCTACTCCCCTGCTTCTTCTCACCAGAATACCCACTTGAAATACCCACACCTCTCATAGGAGAAGCACTATGATCCTCTCATTTGAAAGTCTCAAAATCTGCTTTAGCTGTAGGGCTTCTAAGGCAGCAGCACTCTGCAACCTCTTTAACTGGCATAGAGTAAAAAGGTTGTATACAGATAGCACTTACCAAAAATTGATCAGGGTGAGACTGCAGAGGAGAGAAATATAAAAAGAGAATGCATATTTCTCTGTACTTTGAATTCCTCCAGAGGAAATTGTTCTGAGAAATGATGGGAGGGAAATTCTAGCTTCAAATCTAGATTCAAAATAGTGTTCTTACCTGCAGGTAAGATCATTTTCCCCAAGGATCAACATGCTCAAGCAGTCTTCTCAATGCTAACATGAAGTTATTGGGAAACTTAGTTTGATAGCAGTGCTTAAATTAGATGGCATCAAGTTTACTTGTCCTCTGCCACACACACCTGCATGGCACCACAGTTAAGGTGGCCCAGTGCTGAGGAGATGAACTCAGGCAAGACTGTGGCAGTGCATAGGGACAAAGAAAAGCATTTCAAAAGCTCTGGCATTGTACCACAGTCTCCTCTGGCTAAAGGGAAAAAAAAGGACACTCCCAATTAAGTTAAAGCTAACCACCGGATTCCAATTCAGCACTAAATTGTCATGTAAGAATCTTTATTTTTATTGGTACTAAAGACAGTTATATGAGAGTATAATATACCACACGGCACAAGAAGCTTATTAGCTTTACTCTAATGCACGGTACAATTCTGGTCATTGGTGCAGTCTAAATTTCTTCAGGGAATTCTCATAGGAACCAAGAGATCTCGGCATTTTCAACTCCACCCAGTAGTGAATATAAAAACAAACACAGCAATATGTATAACTGATATAGATTAGAAAAAGTCAGTATCAGTCTACTTATTTCCACCCTGAAGAGGGCTTAAAGCATTGCTGGACTTTGTTTCATTTCAATGGAGACTGTAATCTGAAGGGCCTCAGATTACACAGATGCACAGGCTTTATTTTAGTATCATCTAGGATCAGGAGCCTAAAGTACAACCCTCTTTTTTAATAAGCTTTTGAAAGTATTAGCCACATTCATGACAAAATAGAAACATGACAAAACCCAAGTAATTTTCAAAATGCTCTACTTTTTATGCTGTCAATGCCCTTCCTCTATTTTAGAACTTAGACCTAAGTCAACCCACATTAAGCAAGCACTATCACAAAGGAGTGACTAGATACTGATACATAAACAAACATGCTTTTTTTTGTGTGCAGAACATACTTTTTTTAAGGTGTCCTCCATACACCATTCAGCCGATGTTTGAATTTACCCTACCAAAAAATACTTTAAATTCTACATACTGAAAATGAGCAGAAGAGCACAAGTTGGTACTGATCATCTGGAAGACTACAGATCACTCTACTCGCTTCAGTCCTACAGTTCTTCACCTCTGGTACTTAAAAGCCGTCCAGCTTTAGTAATGCAATACATTTCAAATTTTATCATAAAATAAGCTGTTTAGCAACTGCTCATTTATTTACTATACACATATAAGATCTGCCCTTCAAAGTCATATCAAAGTTCCATCACCTTAGTGGTAGATGCACAGAGAAAAAGTTAAAAGATACAAGGCACATATACAGCAATATTTACAACTTCCTGAAGCATGAGTCACATCTGGAGAGCCATATTTGATAGCCACTGATGGCCAAACACTTTGCTTTTTCCTACACGTTAACTGCAAGACAGGGAAAACACCAAAAAAAGCAAAAGCAAAATGGTGTGCAACACCATCAAATCCTTGATCAAGTTCAATCACTAAAAGCAGAGGAAAAATATTCCACAAATGAAACGTCTCATCCCATCTCTGACATGACAAATCAGTGCAACTCTGTACAACTACTATGTGTGTGGATGTGCAAGCACAAATACACATACATAAATGCAGAGTTCTACGCAGGCTTTTTCACTTGACTTAAGGCTAGATAAATGTCACAGACTAATTTTCTCCTGTTATTACTAGGCAATTTCCTTACTGATAATGTGAGAGCCTACATAGTACATATGAAATCGAAGTATCCTTTTAAAAAAAAAAATTCTAAAGATACTTACGGAGTCCAAACCTTCGGAAATGCAGCAATTTCTTCTGGTGTATATTCATCTAACCTCTTGGGGACTACACGTGGCTGAGGAATCTCTTGTAGAAGATTCTTCTGTATATCTTCTGGAATAACCTGAGGCAGGTGAGAATAGTCTTAGCTATCTGACTGTTTAAGAAACAAGACCACTCCCCCACAAATTTAGACCAAAATTTGTCAACAGTACTGCATTCTTCATGTTAAGTGTTTGACCTAAATACAGAAGACCTCATGCATGTCTTATATCTCACAATTTTGTGATATAATAAAGAAAAAAAGCATCAACATTTCAACTTTATTTAGATACATAAATAAAAGAAGGTTGATTTTTCTTAATTTATCTTCTTATGACAAGCATGTTATTTCTAATACTCCCTCTTCACCTATGAATCACACAGAAATTAACTGCATAACTACTCACATCTTCTGGAAACAGGTGCAGCCTCTGCATCATAGTTCTTCTCTGAAGGTTTTTTGGAAGCATTCTATAAATAGTCAGTTTAACAATCTAAGGAAAGATAACATAGCAATAAATAGTCAGATGGGCTACAAATAACATGAAAAAATTAAGCTGTGTTTCCCTCTGTACATTCCATTAGTCACTGAACCTTTTTTCAGTCAACCTCTTCCATGCTGAAGGACTCTGGCATCATATTTAGAAGGTGCTTTAGACTTACTGTTTTGGAAGAAGAAACCCTTACTATAACAGCTGTATAGAAAATTTCGGCTTAGAAAATTAAGAGCTATATATAGCATTGATATTATCATTGCATATGATCATTCAACTCTGAAAAGAATTGAGAAGCTTACGGTAATTTGTATCGTATTGCACATTTATATACACCTGCTACTGAGGAAAAAAAAATTAGGCTCTAACCAATTTACCAAGTTTTGTCAGCATCTCGTTTAACACTGTGATTTGCTGTGTTTGAAACTTCTATATAACTAATGCACTGTATCTTAAGCAAAGCTCCCATACCAGGACACTGCATCATGACCATACTATACATATGTATAACTTATTCCCTTGTTTTCTTCATTCCAGATGTACAATCTCACTTCTGAGTGTCAGGAACCAATAGAATTTGTACATCTACACTAGATGATGCTTGTTGAAAAGTAACAAAATTCAGCAGGATTTCTCTTGGACTCTAGTATGGATGCCCGGAATTTAAATACAAAACACATTGTTATGGACTTCACCCAGGAGGGGAACATTTGTAAATGTAAAACAAGGCTTGCAGCTGTAGTAGAAAAAAAGGGTTTTATAAAGGACATCAAAGCATTTAGGCCTATGTGTAATTTTGTAAGTAGAAGGAAACCCACTCTGCCTGTGGTCCAAGCCACCCAAACATAAATCAGCTCCAAATGAGAAACTACCAGTGCAATGTTAAACTGAAATCAGTAAGCCAGGCTGAAATACAGTGCACTAAAGCCAAACAAATACCCCAGGCCTCTGGATACTTTGAAAAGTGTACTAAGCAAAGTCACTTCTTTTTATATAATTAAAGGCAGTTAACCAAAATTTTAGAGACAATCACTAATACTGAGTTCCCAGCTGGAACCACATAGTTAAGGTAAAATGATTAATTGTTGCAAGTGAAATGAATGAGAAGTGCTGCTTAACCTTGCAGGCATTTCTACTTGAATTCTGAAGTCAGTAAACACTCAAGATAGTTTGGCACCAGCATTACTTTCATTTTGCCATGTAATAAGACAGTTGTCTTAGGATCCTCATAAACATATACTATATGCCTTGAGAAACTCTGAAGGCATTACAGAAGCATCAACATCATGAAGATTTTCAGATGTTATGCAGCTACTACCATAGATCTGTGGACAAATATAAAAAATGTAGACAACAGAAGAAATGCATCAGCTTGTGCAGAGTAATATATAGTGTTGATACCTTCTCCAATAAAAATTAATAAGCAACTACTAAAAAACAAAGATGAAAACTCATGTTTTTATGGAGAAAAATTATTCATGCTTGTAGAGCAAACTAGTTTATTTAGGTCAGTATATCATGTGCTTAGACAAAGGCAAGATAAAGATAGAAAACTGCTCTACTTCATGGAATATGGAAAATCAAGTGAGACACCATAACAATGGAAGAAAACACATGGATATTAAAAACAGCTCATGTGAATAGTTCGTTTACCATCAGTAATCTTAGTTTTGTACACTTAAGTCTCCTTCCTGCACAGTATTTTCCCTTACAGCCAATGAAAGAGCAAAATAGATCTAAAGCAATGGATGCAGAGACTTCACAACATACTGCATAATTATGGGGATTTTTCTGTTTACCTAAAAATTACTTTAACTTCAGGCTGTGACAGAATCAGTGTTAATTCCTTAGATTAATAAACTGTACATACATATGGTCCAACATATGACCTATGACCTACAGATATACAGAGCTAGCTATTTAATGATTTCAGTTCAACAAAAAGCCTTTACAATACTTTAATGAACATTGTTAAATATTTCACTTCTTCAAACAACGGATGTTTGTGTCTGATTTTTGTCTTCCTCTGCAGCATGTGGCACAGACACCTGTTGAAACAAACCAGTGAGCTAGAGGAACAGCTGGTCTATTCTGGTTGTAGATACTTCTGCATGGTGAATCTGACTCAATTTTTTTAGCCACATTACAAAGAGAACAACAGTTCAGGTGCAAAAATGTGCTTATTGAAAAGTCACACTGGAAAAGAACAACTGATTTATAGGCTCACATTAAACAGTGAAGAAGTACTTTCAATATTGTGTACAGTCACTGCAGAACTGACAACCTCAGGGGATGACAGACTAAGATGAAAGCAGGACTTGGAGAAAGGTAATAGATAATGAAAGATAATGGATAATTATACATTCAGTAAGAGCTTCTATGGATACATATGCTAAGTGCAATAAACATAAATCAAGGTACGGTTTGGCATGTCTACCAGTCTCTATGCTGTTCAAGAACTTGTTTGGCTTTCTGTGCCCTTCCACACACGCAGGAAGTGCATTACTGCAAGATCTGCAATATAAAAATAATCCTCACATGAAGCACAAACCATTTTTCACTGACAGGCAGATCACAGAATCATAGACTGGCCTGGGTTGGAAGAGATCATCTAGTTCCACCCCCCTGCCATGGGCAGGGACACCTTCCACTAGCCCAGGTTGCTCAAAGCCCCATCCAACCTGGCCTTGAACGCTGCCAGGGAGGGGGCAGCCACAGCTTCTCTGGGCAACCTGTACCAGTGACTCATCATCCTCATTGTAAAAAAATCCTTCCTTATGTCCAATCTGACCCTACTCTCTTTCAGTTTAAAAACACTGCCCCTTGTTCTGTCCCTACAGGCCTTAATAAAAAGTCATTCTCCATCTCTCTTATAAGCCCTGTTTAAGTGCCTTTTGTCACAAGAGAGGTGCCCCACCCCTCTGACCATCTTTGTGGCCCTCCTCTTGACCCACCCCAACAGGTCCATGGCTTGGGTGCTGAGGACCCCAGAGCTGGACACAGCACTGCACGCATGAGAGCAGAGCAGAGGGGCAGAATCACCTCCCTTGACCTGCTGGTCACACTGCTCTTGATGCAGGCAGTTTTCTGGGCCGTGAGCTCACACTGCTGACTTACGTCCAATTTTTCACCCACCAGCATCTGTAAGTCCTTTTTCACAAGGCTGCTCTCAATCCCTTCATCCCTCAGTCTGTACTGATACTGGGGATTGCCTCGACTCATATACAGGACGTTGCACTTGGCCTTGTTGAACTTCATGAGGTTTGCATGGGCCCACTCCTCAAGCCTGTCCAGGTCCCTCTGAATGGCACATCCCTTCCCTCTAGTGATCAACTGCACCACTCAGCTTGGTGAACAAACTCAAACTCACTGAGGGTGCACTCAATCCTACTGTCTATGTCACTGATGAAGATACTAAATCCTTGCCTGATTCGCAGCAGTAAATTGGATTTCACTGTTACAGTCTCTCCCATTCTGGACATCCAATGAAATTGAATGAACTCTCAAAAGAAACAAACTTGTAACTCAAGAACTAGACATTTCAAAAGGCTCTTGTTTTTTTTTTTAAGTGCATTTTTTTGTGGTTATCATAGAGCCTTTAATGTCTGAGCCACTTGAAAGTATTGCCATCTATATGTTACACCCATGCGGAGAACAGAGGAACAATATCCTTGAGTTTGAGCATGTCTGTTCCCTGCCTCAGCAACTCACAGTAGGGGCTAAGAGGGAACAAACCCTTGGCTTCTGTAGCAGATCATCATTTCCTTGCCGGAAGAGGTCAAAAGCAGATTTATATCATCCACCTCTCAAGTTCATCTTGGTCAAGAAGAAAATAAATTAAAAAAACAAAGAAGGAGGGGTGAGGAGGTGATAACCTTTTACTAAGCAAGGCTCTGTACTTTTATTATTGGTTAATTGCAAGGTAGTTAGTCCAGCTGTAGAACAGAGGGCCATACAGGGAGCTAGGACAGAGAAGGTAGTACTGGATAATATCTAGCTTCCTAAATTCTGCCTCAAAGATTTTTCTATAAGCCAAAGCAAACCCATACCCAGCTCCTGCAAAGACCACATTTACATCCAGTTCTTGCCCAAAATTCTGCTTACAACCAGGACCCCACTCTACCTGGTGCAATGACAAGTCAAAGAAATTCATGAAGCTGTAAGGATTGCTTTTACAACTTTAGTAAGGTTGCATAACAGACAAGGCAGATTCAACTAGCAATATTTATAGGATGTTAAGGACTCTCCTGTTAACCTGAACACGTTCACATTTTACTAAAATTACACCAACCCTAAATAAAAAGCTATGTAACTGCAAGAAAAAGTCTGTTGCTGAACTCACGCAAAACCCAAACACAGATTCAATGCTCCCTGAAACACACAACAGAACGCACTGTTTCTTTAAGGAATAAAAATCCTTCTATATGTTTGTAATACACTTTTAATAAAAGATAATTCTTACTATCTTTTCTATGTGATTATGTTTATTTTTAAACTATTAAAATACAAGATTTTAATTTTAATGAGACATAGATTTCAGTTTGATTTCAAATTGGCAAAGTTGTCTACCGTCCCATTGCAACCTTGATCTCAAATTAATTAGTATATTTTAACAGTTTGTTCAATTATTTAGGGATTCCCATTGCCTCCTCTCCCCAGTCCTTTATCTCTAGTACCAGCGACCTGTAAAATTCCATGTCGTCATACTAACTCATACACATCTGCCATCAGATGTGTAACTCCTTAACAGCCACCAGAGCATTAATATTTGGGGATTTTTAAAGTTCTGTAATGCTGTCTGCCCCAGTTTCTTTTGAATGACAAAATTCCCATTGGCTGTAGTTATGATTGTCTTTGAGTACCGCAGTACTTTTTTTCCAAGTTGGCTAATTTACATACTCACAGCATAAGACATGCTCTTAATCACAGAGTTATATGACATTACTTTTTTAGTTGTCAATTTAAAAGGCTAATACAAGAGGAAAAGAATCTGAATGCAG